TAGAAATTGAAGACACAGACATGAAACATATATTGATATCATCCATTGTGACTTACACTTTCAGGCACATTCCTGAAATGCCTAAGAATCATTAGGTTTTTAACAGGGGTGTGTGTATCTCTCCCTTCTAAGACAATCTGATATGACCATATATATCTAGATACATGGGCTTCAATATGATTCAGGGATGATGCATTTTAATATTGAACAACCTTCAACTACATACATTTTATAATATACCAAGGAATCCAAAGTATTTTTCTCTCTGTGGCATGGGAAAAAATGGAAGACAAATGTATTATTTCAGAATTACATGTCAGTTGTTAGTGTGGCTGGAGAGTTTTTTATATCTGTGTCTTGTGTGTTCTTGCTTGTGCTAGCTGTGTTAGCATCCACAGTCTTCTCGTCACCTGCATAGGTGTCACCATGCCGTCTCACCAGGTCAGTGTTAAGATTTACTGTCTGACAGATCTTAAAAATGGCTAGACTTTTGTCCAACTTTCCCTCCTTATAGAATCCAAATGTCTTCCAAGACAGATTTGATGGTGCACTGTAAATTGTGTTTGTTTATGTACCGACCTTGCAAGCCACGTTAATGTTGGCTGTCCTATGTCCTATGAGTATATCTTTGCACTCATAGTTTTTATGTTTCTATCAGTAGCAAAGTAATCCAGTAATCCAGTAGTTATTTGTGCATCGACGGGTGCATTGGTGCATTACTGCTAAAAGCTGATTCGGCACACTTGATGGTGCCAGTTTGCCAAAATAAATAAGAATAGGCTCACACAATGTTGTTTAAAAGAGAATAGGCCTTACCTACCTGTAGCAGTCATATTGGTTCCCAAACAGACCTATTAGGTGTGTGCATGTTTCCAGATCAGCTAAAACATTTTTGACATTTTAAGAGAACTGAATGACAGTTGCATTCTGTTTGAAATGTATTTATTGTCACACAAAAAACATATACAAGAAAATGGAAAGTTATACTAATAATAATAATAATATACAGAAAAATAAACAAGAGAAAAAGCTAATTATAGCAAAGCAAGTCTAAAAAAATCAAGAAATAGTTTTGAGAATAATGTTGTCTTATAATTTAGCTGCATAAGCTAGCGAGTACATCATCTCATATGTCTTATGTAAGCAGTGTGAGTTATCAGTGAGTAAGTAAAGGTTGTGTCACTGGGACGCTCCCATCAGCAGAACATTTCTTTCAACTACAGTCATACCTTGAACAACCAGGTGACACAACACAACATGTGCAACTTTCTGCTGGCTGATTCACAACTGTGGAAGAGAAAACAGATGTGTGAGATGATAAAATGAACTCTTTAGCAATTAGCTTTCCCTTTTATTTCCCCCTCAGGAGCTTTAAGGTTGGAAAAAGGGTCTTATTCCACACTGTCTGACAGTATCATGTTTATTGTATATCATGACAAGTTAGGAACGTTTGGGATCTCAATTAGAATCCAGAATAAAGTCCTGTGGATTTATGCAAAGTCTGACTGCACAGCGTGACTTTGTAATGACTGACGCATCGAGTCAGGTCAAGTTTTTAATCTTAACATTTGCTTATAATCATGTAACAAACAAATACTGTGAGACTGATTTATAGAGATATGGAAAAGTGATGCAGAGTATAGTTTAAGATCTGCTGAATGTAGGAAATCAATCAGGTAATCAAAACAGTTTCCAGTGTGAAGGTCTGCAGTGGGAAACAGACCAGAACCACTGACAGTAGCAGAGTGAAGGGCTTGCTCCATTTTATTATGCCACAAACTGTTTCGCGCAAGGACATTTGAACATGAGAACGTAGTCCTAATGGTGTGTGTATATATATATACATATATATATAAAATAGCTTATATTATTATTTTTTATGTATGATCCATCATAAAGATACAGCAATGGAAATGCGTTGCAAAAAAATAATTTTTAGATATTATAAATCATGATTTCAGGGGAGCTTATGTCTTGATGAGTACATCATCCCCATCTCCCCTTTAGTTCACATCCTGCTGTCTGGATGTAAAGACAATTTCAACAAATATAACAAAAATGAATAATAATTTAAAAAATAGGGAAACAGTTAAATCAGACAATTGACAATAGTAAAACAGTACATTAGGAGAGCTTGGAGTTCAATCATAGGCAGTTTAAATACATATATTCTACTATTAAGTTCCTGTAGAAACATACAATAAAAAAGGAACTCATGTAAGTCATATGAATATTATATTCATGTGAGCTTTAAACGCCAACTGACTTTGATAAAGCCAAATCCAGCTGTAACGATTAGTTGATAAATCGATTAGTCAATCAAAATAAAATGAACTGGCAACTAATTGAACAAAGTCTTGAAACTATTACCACGTGTAGACTGTGAAGAAACAAACTATACAGCCACATTTCAGAGTGAAGTGTTTGTTTATGTGAGTGAGACTGGATTTTAAACGTGGTCAGTTTGGGAAAAAAAAATTTTTTAACACCCCTAAACCTCCCAAACACTGAGTTTCACTAAATATATGGCTATACTGCTTATCTGAACCCATCAAGCTCTCAGTTAGGCGTGTGCATTGGTTTGTACATGATAAAGTGCCACGTGCTGCACTTTTATCAGTCCACGCTGAGACAAAGATTTCCTACAACCCTGCTCAGGTGAGTCCGACCGGCCTGTTACTGATACTGAGGCTGTCAGACAGTATAACTTGCTTATATTCAAATGTATTTATGAGTCTCTTCACAGACAGGTTTGTCACAACAAAGTGCTTTTTACAGAACAAAAGGTGAACGTGATATTACTCCATTATAGTACATCTGCGCGTGTGTGTGTGTGTGTGTCCATAGTATAGCCAGCTGAATGGGTGTGTTCTCAGCTCCAGCACAGAGGAATGTGAGGTGTGGTTGTCAGCGTTGCCCAACACAAGGCAGTTCTGCATTCACTCTGACACCTATAGCAACCAGCGGCTGTTTAACCAACAGTCCTCTCCACAGGAGACTGTATCACAGTGTGTTCAGACTGCTGGAAAACCTCACTGTGATCTAAGTTCAGATATCACATCCAGCCTGTCCTTGGCCTGGCAAAAAAAATGTCACTATTGGTCCTTGGTTACAAACATTATCCTTTGTTAAAAGCCCACTCCACTCAAAAATGTGATTTATTTGTTGCTTGTAACTGTTCTGTAATAAATCTTTGTTTGAGGTGTGAGCCCACATGTATGATTTTGACTAGTCTGAAAGCCGATCATGGTCCAATATGCAACAAAGACGCAGTCTCAGAATCCAAAAGCTATCACAGGCAAATATGGGGGCAATGGCCAATGTTTCGGGGCTCTCAGTGTAGCCAGCAGATATCTGGATATCCAGCCCAAGATTTTCTCTTCTGTGCGCCCGTCATTATTTACAGTCCAATTAGCAAATTGAGAAGTAATGATGGTGATTTCTACAACAGGTATCTGCGTATGAATGCTAAATTATTGTCAGACGATAGCCGATGGGTTCCAATATTGCATTTCACCTCTTTTGCTCTCCACACGAACTGATCATTTGTCTAAAAAGAAAAATAATCTTCTCACGCATGTTAACGCTGTCTTAGTAAGATATTACAGCTAATATTGCGTTAGATTTAACAAGTAACAAGTTGCAACAGTGGTTTGTATAATATCCCAGCAGAGGAACAAGATTAATTTCCTTATTTTATAAGTAAGAAGTCCCTTATTTTCTATCATGCTGGGTATTTTCAATTTTGAATCTTAGATTAAGGAACAAATTCTTAAATTCAGCTCAATAAGGTGACCAAAACATTCATTTTAAGTTTCCATTGCTTATAATAAGCACAACTTGCTTACATTCTTTCTAGTTTTAAGGTCCATTACGAACTTTCAGTGGCTAGACTTTGACTGATTGAATTTTTTTGATTTTTACAAATGAAACCAGAACGCTTCCTTCTTGTGTCCTGTCTACAGATTCAGCATGCAGATATCTGTTTATAGAGATGAACAAAAGCGTAGTAGCATGGAAATCTCCAGTGCACATACAGTACGGTGAGAGCAGACGTCAGTATTTCCATATTTACAGATATTGCATATGTGAGTGAGAGAATGAGTGGATGTTGTTCACAGAATCTTTAACCAGTCAGTGGAAGTTGAACACAAATTATTATTCAAATTATTTCCATCATTTTTGTCTGGTCTTTAAGGCCACGTTCAGACTGCAGGCCAATGTGACCAAAGTTGGATTTTTTTGCTCAGATGTGACTCAGATCCCCTTTTTATGGCAGTATTAACTGCACATATCACATGGAATCTGATCTTTTAAATTCTGATTTGGGCCAAATTTGGATTCAGGTCTGATTATTTCTTTTATGTCAGTCTTGATCTGCATTTGTCCTGTGGGTCATTTCAGGACTGTGACTTGTTCACACTGGACTCTGATATGGGCCACATTTTTGGAACAAAACAAAAATAATCAGATCTGAGTAATAAATCAGAATTGAGTCAAGGCTTGCAGTGTGAATGTAGCCTAAAATGCAATCTGACCAATAGAATAGGTCGATATTTCAGTCTGGATCTGATTTGTTAATAAGTCTGCAATCGATTGATTGACAAATGAAGACAGAGAATGATTCAGCTTCTTTCAGCTCCAGTTATTCAATAAAGATTATCAGTGACATCAGAGAGAACCAAAACGCCACAAGGGAGGAGAACATTCCTGAAATAGTTACAATAGTTGCATTTTGGTGAGAGACTGGTAGGCTACACTAGATCTCCAAAAATGGTGAGAGAGAGAGCGCGAGAGAGAGAGAGAGGGGGAGAGAGAAAGAGAGAGAGGTTCACATGCTTCTTAAAACTTTTGTGGACTTCCGCCTAAAAAAATGAAAAATAAAACAACCCATCCCCTCCTCTCTTCCCGCCTCTGACAGGCGGTACAGGTAAAGCAACAACTATTTTGCGTGCGTCAGCGGCGTCGTGCGCGCGCCCATTTTTACGCACGTCTCCGGTGTGCGTGCGGCAGGTGTAGCCCTGGCCCCACCCACAAGGCAAACTTCTGTCAGGCAGAAAGTTGATGCTGTCAGTCCCAGCAGAGCAGCGCCGCAGAGGGAGCGTTAACAGGTAAGAGGCTGATCATTTACTGCGCACTCTTTGGATTTCAACCTGGAGCTTTCCACTGCGCTTGCTGGCACTGGCTCCCGGGGCCCCGTAGTTCTGCTTTCAGTTCATTCCGTTCTTAGAGCTGGAGTTGAGCAGGCGGTGATCAAAAGTTAACTTTAGTCTGCTGAGGGGTTCTTAGAGGGACTCATGCAGGGTTAAATCACAGAAACTGTTTCAGTGGGATGAATAGAAACTACAGCAAGGGCAGTGTGTCGACCCAATGTAAGCCCATTGCCTGTTATTTTTAGAATGATGCAAAAACATTATAATAGTGTACATTCAGCAGCAATATGTAAACACAGCCTGTCGTTATTTCCCTATTTGAGCAATAGCATCAAATATGACTTTAAAGTCATTTTGTATTTAACCAGTTCACATCAGTGACATATTTTATAGATATGTCATTATTCAAAACTGTACAGTGTAATAGTGAACAGTAAAACGAGTGATTTGCATGCATTTTGAGCAGATTATTTCCTGTTTATGGAACTTTTTATACAATTCTCTGTCTGTATTAAGTATTTTTTATCATTTTTAACAATCATACAGACTTAATATATATAAAAATAGCCTTCTTTTTTGACAAATTCAGTTTTTCTTCTTCCTGACGCTTGACCATTGTTCTAATAGACAATTTACTTTACATTTACAACTTAATGCTGAGATATAGGCCTACTGTGTATAGTTCTAAAATGTTCAAGTATGTTTTAAAATCAAGAAGGTCTCCTGAGTCGAGGTTTTGGCGACCCCTAGTGGGGGTCCCGACCCCCAGCAAAAAGTGCCATTTAATGTAAAAACAGGAGATTAAAATATGCCAGAGTATGATAACAGTTAACACACAGGCCAGGCCTTCCACAGGAACATTACAAAGCCAGTTCACATTTCAGTAAAGTTAGACAAAGTAGCTTATGATCCTTTAAAACAAAGTGACGTTTATTAAATAAACATCATTTTGTGTAATTTAGGAAACTTTTGGAAATTTGGGAACTTAGGAAGCATAAATGATCTAAGTTCTAACAGCATGAAACTCACTATATGATGATTGTGTAATTCCCATAGTATTACTAGTAACGTTGGTGAAGTCATTATGAATCTATTGAGTAACTCAGACATACTCTTAGTTCCAAGAATACCTTCAGTGTAGGATAATATGATATCATACTGAAGATTTAAAACAGGGCTTCTTCACGTTTCCACAGGTTAGAGTTAAGACTTTCAAAGACCTTTTTAAGACTATTATGAATGCAATTTAAGACCTATTTTACGTCCGATATTGCTTCCATGTCAGTTTGGTTTTGTGGTTGTTACAGCATGATCAATACATTTGGCACAGAGCTCTGACCTCAACCAGCATCCAACAGCTTTGGCATGAACTGAAAGCTTCCCGGCCCGAGTGCAGTCCGTTAGCCTGTAGCAGGCTACTCATGTGCAGGGTTTTGGAATGACATGTTCAACAATCAGTTATGGCTGGAATGTTAGGGCGTCCACATACTTTTGATCATTGAGAACGTGTTGTCAACTTAGTAACATCACTGGAACATTATGGCCATCCTACAGGAGAGATAAATACCATAAATAACACAATTACTCGCCATAAAGCGCCCTACAATTGTTTTATTGTCTTGTTATAGTGACCCAGCTGTTTCAGCAGATGCAGTTGTCTCCTCCTACCATTATTTAATCTTTAAACTACATCTGACTGAAACAAAAACCGAAATGTCACAATGATGAAACATATTGTTTGGTGTTGTGTCAAAGTGCCACTCTGTGCTCAGCCAAAGGGCGAGTCCGACTGTACCCTGCACTGTGCGCCGATAAGAGAGCTGCTGGAAGGGGACGTTATCTTTATTACAGCTGGGCGGAGGGCGCTAATGTCACTTACACAAGATCCACGTGGAGCCACAGTGTCAGTCATTAGTTAATTAATGACAACCGTTATAACAATAACAGTCTACATGTGTTTGGATGAAATGGCCAGTTGGGTAATTGTACAGTAATGGTGAAGACTTATGCTATGTTCATATGCTAGTGGTAATTGAGAAATCCTGGACTTAAAGGACTGGCAGGAATGGAATATAATATTCATAGGTATGTTTTCATTAGCGTATAATCACCTGAAAATAATACCAGTTGTGTTTGCGTTACCTTAGAATGAGCGGTTTTCCACGGGGACTGGGTCCTCTTCTACGAAGTCCGCCATGTTCTCTAGATAGGTTATTTTGTGTTTTTCGCTTTTGGAACGGGGAGAGTTTGCTGGCAAATAACGCCACTATTTGGATTGTTTCTTCTGAAAATCCAGAAGATTCCAGGCCCCTGAGGGTTGTTTTGGCTTTTTTAGCTTATAGTTTTAGTTTTATGGCACATTTAGAAAAAAAGAAAGGGGAAAATGATCAAATAAAGAACCAGATATTTTTGCCAGGAGTTTGTGGAGGCCAAACCAGAGCTAAAGGGAGAGTAAATATTGGACGTAACGTTCATCAAACATTCCTCCAATGTGATAATGTTGCTCTGTCTTCTTGTCTTAGCCTGTAAATAGGCAAGTGTTTGCTAAAAGATTAGCCAAAACAACATTAGAATTTAATATACCAGCTTGTTGTGGGGTTGTTCAACTTCTGTCCAAAAAATCTAATAATGCAGCTTTAAATGGGCTTTGTTTATAATTGGCAAGCTAGCTTGTTGCTTATAGTAGGTAGCTAATTTTGCTAGCTTGAGAGCTAGTCTCCAGAACAGTGGTGACACAGGCTGACCTCAAGATAGATAGATAGAAAATGTGTGGTCTTGTAAACTGGTGTTTACAGCCTGGAACCAAAGCTTTATTTTAATTCTCTCCAAAATGGATAAATTAGGAAATGCTAATGCCTCGTGTTGTAGTGTGAGCAGCGGAAACGGTGTTGCAACTGATGTGCCTGCTTCAAATAGTGTAAATGGAAACAGTTGAATGGACTGGTGGAGGTGTGTGTACAGTTACCAGACTGTCGTCCTGCACTCTGCATGTAAAGCACTGTTGTGATGCTTTTGTCTCACTGACTTCTAAAGCAAACAGACGAGTCAGTCATGCATGTTTAAGTGTTTTCCAAGGCTGAGGAATGCTGAAACCCCGACAGCAGCATCTCCGACTCTCTGCCTGTAGCTCTTCTCTTTCAGAATTCCTCCTCTTTATCTTACTGTCCATCTTTTTCTGCTCTAATTGTGTTTATCTCCCTCTTTCTTTCTCACTTTCTCCCCTTCTGTGTGTTTTCATTGTCTCTTCTGTCATTTTTTCCTCTCTTCTCTTGTGCCTCTTTCTCTTTTTTACTTTCCTCTTTTTCACTTTCCACTCCCTGTCTTTTTCTTTCTCTTACTCTTTGTAATTCTGTAACCAGGAGGCCGACTTCATTTTACTTCATTTTTTTCTTTTCTTTTTTTGTATTTTGAATTTATATACTTTATAGAATTTTAGACTAATTTATATATATATATTTTTATAAACATTCATTTATTTACTTATTTATTGATTCTTATCTTTTCAGTTTTTTGTATTTTTTATTATTTTATTTTTTGGTAATTTTTATTCCATTTTTTAAAAATATTATTGATGCTAAATGTTTTCTTTTAAGTCTATGTCCTGCCACAACTGCAAACTCTGTCTCTTTGCCATTGATTGATTTGTTTGAATGAATTACACCTGACACTACCTGTTGTCATATTGTGAGCTTGCACAGGAGGGCATTAGTTATGTGCTTGTTACTGTACAGCAAATGTGATCTTTCCCTGTATTTCTTCCTCACTTTGTCTCTCCTCCCATTCATATTTTTTTCCTCCATTTCCTCATACCTCTCTTTAACTTTCCTCCCGATTACTCTCACCTATTTTCATTTCGTCACACCACTTTCATTTCCTATGGCCAGTCGCTCTGTCACTCTTTCAAACTCAGATAGTGTTTATCTGCAGGAGGAGACGACTTTGTGAACAAAACATTGTAATATTATGACAGTGGATCAACCATTTATATCTGTTTATCTTCATCCAGCTCTCTCTGCCTCACACTGACACACACCCATTCTCTCTCTGCCTCTCTCTCTAATGTGTTTTAATGGGGCTACATTCTTTCCCTTGACTCCAGCCCAGTTAACCAACCAGACCAACGAGAAAACACAACAGTGCTCTCTCATAGTTTAACCCAGCACACACCCACCCCTTCTCTCTCTCCCTCTCTCTCTCTCTCTCTCTCTCTCGCCTCCCCTCTGTCTCACACACACTTGATACAACTGCTGATACAATACTCGAGTTTCATTGCTGTTACTAAGTAAATACTATTTTAGGTACCATACTTTGAGAAAACATGCGGTTGTAGAGGCTAACAGGCTGGCAAGCTAACTGCTAACTCACCAACCAGCCAGGAACATGCTAACGCTACTCAGTCAGTCATAATAGCTCCCGAGTTTCTTTCAATTGTATCTGTACTGTGCTGTTTACTCCCTGTAGCATTTTAGAATTAAAAGTTTACACCATTTCTCTCGATAATAGAGTTATTGAAGGGACTAAAAGCTGTCGAGCTAATGAGCTTGCTAACTGATCTTGTTAATCCTTCCTTAACAACACTAGCTACTTTCAAACTAGTGATTTACTAAACCTGGTTGCAACAGTAAAACTTAAAGCTGCAGTAGGTAACTTATTATAAAAATAATGTTTTGTTATATTTGCTGAAACTTTCTCTATATCCTGCCAGTAGTACATGAAACAGATAAAGTGGGCATGACTTTCATTTATATATACATTGGTATATACATTTGCATTGGCTTTTATAATACAGGACATATAGACATTCATGTAGGAATCTGTATATTAAGAGTGAATTGAAGATATCTAAATAAGCTAAGCTCATTAAACCAACAGCGTTTGGTCATTTAGTCTACATATTTAGCATATCTTAAACGTAATTTAAAATAGTCTCAGTTTACCGATATTGGCAATTGGTAGTA